TCACAGGCAACTTGCACGACCAGAGTCGACGATCCTCAGGGTATCGCAACTCGTACAAATCCTTTGCTCCGTAGGGATACAGATCCCACTCCACTTAAGTTTCAATACAACAAATAAATTAAAATCGAAGCAAATAATTTCAAAAAATAAAATAGGATTCATAATCATAAAAATAAATCATCGGCCAAGACAAATAATTTCAACAAATAAAATATGATTCGTAATCATAAAAATAAATCATGGGCCAAGACAAATAATTTCAACAAATAAAATAGGATTCGTAATCATAAAAATAAATCATGGGCTAAGACAAATAATTTTAACAAATAAAATAGGATTCGTAATCATAAAAATAAATCATGGCTAAGACAAATAATTTCAACAAATAAAATAGGATTCGTAATCATAAAAATAAATCATGGGCTAAGACAAATAATTTCAACAAATAAATTAGCATTCATAATCATAAGCTAGAATGTTACATCGTTGAATTCTATACGGTCAAGATGTTGGCGGTACCCGTCTAGAGAGGTGAGTCTCGTGATAGCTCCAATCCATCTAGCACCATAAGCCCATTGTCTTAGTGGCTCTTCGGTACCCCAATTGTTGGCAGGGCAGATCGGAGCGAAAGTAGGAAGGTGCTCCCAAACCCATAGTTGGAGGATGAACATGGGACCACCCACTTGCTTTGTTTTCGGGTCCGTACACTTGCACACTCCAAATATATCATCGCCAAACAAGCAGATTCCCAACTTTTCCTCCCAATCTCGTCCCAATCTTCCAAAAGAACTCGAATCCACATACAATGCATATTTCCACCGGAATTGTTCGGAAACAAAAATCCCCCAACCAAACAAATCAGGTAGATGCGAGCATACCTCTCTATCTGAGCATCCGTGGCATCCTCCGGTAATTCTCCAGCGGTCCTCACAAGCCAAGGTATCAATAGCATAGACTTGTGTAGAGGTGGTACACGACGACCTTGTGGTGCTTCCTAGGGGATGTTGATGCCTAAACGCTCGCTTATACATTGGTCCCAAGCATTAAATGGTTTCTGTGAACTTTCTATTATTGCATCACCATCGATTGGAAGCTCTGTCAGCATCGCCACGTCCGTCAACGTAATCGTCATTTCTCCCTCCAGAAGGTGGAATGTGTGCGTTTCTTTTCTCCGTCTTTCCACCATTGTCGTAAGAAGGTTGTTGTCCATCTCCATCCCCATAAACTTTTGCACCCTCAGCAATCGCGCTCTTTCAATGAAGGGCTCGATCTGATCATTCCATTTAAGCAAGCGAGATAGCGAACGATGGGTGATTACGTCAAGTTGTTCCTGTAGAAAAAAAACTTTAATTATTATACAAAAAAAAAAGAATACAATCACATTTAAAAAAATAAAATTACGTGAGGAAGTACTTACCGGATCTGCCGCCCAAACACTTTTAGACCGATGGTAAGGTTGCTCATCCAACAAATTGGTTTCTTGCGGTCCGTCTTGAATGTATAATCTAGGATCGTAAATACTCGGATCCATCTCGAAAATTTTGAGTGATAGAAATACCAAACTAAAGAAAAAAAATTGATGCGGAAGATCGGGCTTAGCCGCAACCACAAAGCATATTTTTTTCTTCATGAGTGGTGGGAGGAAGAGAGGAAGAAGAATGGAGTGGTGTGAGTTTTGGTGGAATGGAAGGGGGTATTTATAGGTTTTGTGGGAGGAGGTGGATCGAGTTTGTGTCACTCGAACCAGTGCATCAAGTTTAGAGCACTCGATTCGCGTCAAAAGTAGATCGATGGACGGTAGATCGAATGGCACTGATCGTGTTTTAAGTACTCGATCTACGACAGAGCGTGTCTGACGTCATCGATCCGCGTCTAGCAGATCAATTTCCAAGCACTCGATCCACTTGCATCGAGTTCCCCCCACTCAATCCGCGTCACCAGTGCATCGCAGATATGGCTATCGAATGGTGGAGATCGTTTCCACGTAACTCGATCTAGGTTGGAGCGTTGCCTATGTCGTCGATCCATGTCAGTCAGTTCGAGTTTTCTGTACTCGATCCACATAAGTTGAGTTTAGAAACCTCGATCCGCGTCATCCTGTGCCAGCCAATCGTGGCCGTTTTGCTCGATGCACGTGGATCAATGTCTTGGCAGTCGATCTGGTACTAGTTTGAGTTTGTTGAACTCGAACCGTGTCAAACTTTGGTAGTTTGGGAAATTTTTATAAAAGTTATATATTATGGGAATTACTTTTAATTATTACTGTATTTAGGGAATTACACCTGATAATGTCGATGGATGGAAATGCATTCGACTTTAGCTTATCGATTCGTGGAGCGGGAGCAAAAACGAGAGTGTGAGAGCGTTTATTCTTTAAGAATTATAAGTTTAGGCATTGGCAGAGCATCAATATTATATTATTTTAATTAAAATATTGTTTTAAATAATACCAAGTTTTGAAAAAAATACTTCCATAATAATAGAAAAATGAGTCTAATTCAAAGTTCTATGATACATCCTGCTTTAATGTCTTTAGTTACCAAAAACTAAAAGGTGAAATTGAAAAAGAAAAAGAAAAAGAAAAAAAAAACATCACAACCCGAAACAAGCTAAGCATAATTACAAGGGGAAAAAAATAAGCTAAGCATAGCCCATAAAAACTTCCGGATGATTATAACTTTCCATGGGCCGAAGTGTCTTATTGAGCCCAAATTTGGCTGCTAGTCAAAATCCTAAACGGGCAATCTACAACAGCAATATAGTTATAATGCTAACTCTATAAGTGGTTAGTATATAATAACACGGTCGGATTTGAGGCCACATCGCCAAGCCATGATCGGAGGGAGTGGGCATACCGGCGTCGTCGCGTGAGGGGGAAGAGAGGGCCAGCTCGGCAGGTTCAAGTTGAGTCATGTTTTGGTTGGGAAAAGCGGGCCCACAATTTAAAAAAAAGCGCCAAAAATTTAAAACCCAAACACTCTTCTCTCTCCCTCAACCCACGGTTTCCATTCTCCCCACTCTCTCCAAAAACCTTTTGTTCCTCTCCCCCTCCGTTTCTTCTTCTCCCGAAAGCCACCACAAAAAACTCCAGACCGACGACTGCGAGGAAGGCGACGACAGCTGCGAGGTCGGCGATAGCTTGTTTAAGTCCACGGGATGACAACGTTGAGCCTATCCCGATGAGGAGGAAGTTTTGGAAGGTTCTCGCCATCCTTGAGGAAAGAAGACGAAGACGCCGCCGCCGACGAAGAAGACGACTGCAAGGAGGACGCTTTGCTTCAGGTTTGCGTCTTCCCCTCTCCTTAATTGTTCATTTTGTTTGTAGATACTAAGTTAGGGTTTGATGGATTTTTTTTTGGAGATCTGGGTTTCGTTTACCTATTTTAAAATTTAGTGTTCATGCGATTTGACTTTGGGGATTCTGGGTTTTGTTTCTCGATTTGTACATTTAGGGTTTCTTGGATTTGATTTTGGGGTTCTCGATTTTGTTTCTAGGTTACCAAATTTAGGGTTTTTTGGATTCGATTTTAGAAGTTCTGGATTTTGTTTCTAGATTATCTGATTTAGGGTTTGTTAGATTCAATTTTAGTGGTTGTGGATTTTTTTTCCAGATTACCAGATTTATGGTTTCTCGAATACGTTTTTGGGGGTTCTGGATTTTCTTTCTAGATTGTCTGGTTTAGGTTTTTTTGAATTTGATTTTGTTGAATCTGGGTATCGTTTGTCGATTCCTTGATTTAAGGTTTCATGGATATCTGTTTTTTCACTTCTGATACTTGTTATGGATATCAAGGGACTTATTCTGTTCATTATGGATATTAGTTCAGTGAATGGGGATATTTTTATGTTCATTATGGATTTTAGTATGGGATATGTACGTACCTAATTATACTCTATAACTGTGTTTCAGGAATTTTGCGTGTTGGGGAGACAGAAAAATAATGCAAAGAGAGACAATGAGGGATAAGGATCATCACAGCAGGCGTTGGATGAACAACCACCACTGGTTTTATTTCTCACTCCGTTTCTCGATTAGTTATTGTTTCCGATACCTTTTCATGGATATCATTTACTACAATAATAATTGGATATATTGGCTATAAACTATTACTCTCATGTGTTGATATCAGTTTTGTTAGGGTGGATATTGTTCTGTGCGTTTTAGTTATTTGTCTGGGGATTATGGATATTTTTCATGGATATCATTTATCTGTGTTTGGATACGCTCTTGCTTTACTACGATAATAATTGGAAATATTGGCTAAACACTATTACTCTGATGTGTCTATATTAGCTATGTTAGGGTGGATATTGTTCTTTGCGTTTTAGTTATTTGTTTGGGGATTATATATATTTTTCATGGATATCATTTATCTGCGTTTGGATACACTTTTGCTTTACTACGATAATAATTGAATATATTGCCTAAAAACTACTACTATGATGATATCAGTTATGTTATGGTGGATATTGTTCTCTGCTTTTTAGTTATTGTCTGGTGATTATGGATATTTTTCTTAATATATAACTGTGTTTCACGAACAACCCATGAGGAAGAGAACCAAAATAGTTATAGAGAGATCTCGTCAAGGAGAAGGATCAAGGCAGCCGCCGCTTGCTCAACAACAACAAGAAGTTCAAGAGGAAGATGAGGAAGAAGATGATGAGGGACCCTGCGGCTCATACTTCAGATTCCGCGGCTCTACCTTTTTCCTATTCAAAGTTATAAGCTACTGGAAACAAGATGCTGGATACTATGCAACATGCAAGAAAGAGGTCGAGAAGACCGGATTCGGGGGCCTATTGGACTTTCGAATGCCAAAAATTCCCAATGTCTTCATGGACGACTTGATGACTGCTTATGACATCTCAACTAGTACTTTTGTTTTCGGGGAAGGAGACTCGACGAAGGTGTTCGACTTCATACCTGAGGATGTGTCACTTGTGTATGGCATTCCTCTAGGTGGGGCTGTGGTTGATCTGAAGCTAGTTGAGGGGGGATGTTTGACAATTTCGACGAGGATATCAACATGATTCCTAACAGGAGCCACAATGTTCCTATCAAGGACCTCCTAGAGTTGGCCATTCCAACAGAAGGTCCTAGACCACCTGTAGCAATGGTTGTCAAGCAATTTTTGTTGCTAGTGACTGGTTCGCTGCTCGTGCCAACATTTGCTCGGAGGTGCAAGCTAGACTTTGCCCCATACATAGGTGGGAGTTTTGAGGACATTAGGGTTTATGATTGGTGTATCTTTATTGTCCGTGAAATTAAGGTAGAGTTGACCTGTAGCAAGACGAAAGAACATGCTGCAAGGGCGGATGGCAAGCTGTGCATGTGGGTTCTCGGAGATTGTTACTTCTTGATAGTAATTCATAACCTTTTTCAATACTTGTTGGTTCAATTGCATGAAAATTATTGAATTTCATGTTTGGATATCATATAACTCAGCTCGGATACTGTTAGATCACGATATTTGTTGGTTAAATTGCAAGGCATATGCTTAGAATGTTATTTGGGTATCATTTTAGTCACATAGGATACACTTTATTGAATCTCGATGCTTGTTGGTGAAATTGCAAGAAATCAACTTCAAATGTTATATGGATATCATTTGTCACATAGGATAATGATTGTGTTGACTGTGGAAATTTCTTGGTTAAATTGCAAGAAATCAACTTCAAATGTTCTCTGGATATCATTTTAGTGACATAGGATACTGTTTGTGTTGACTCTGGATATTTCTTGGTTAAATTGCTAGAAATGGTGCTTAACATTTATTAATTGTTATTTTTTTACAGCTCCATCTGTTGGATCCCTAAGCCTACGCGGGTTGCACACAAAGACCATCCCTAGCTGCCGGTTTTGGTGGAAGCAAAATACCGAGAGGGCAAGTATATCTATCCCTTAGCCATGGAAGATATGACCTAGCTGTCGCTTTGCTGAGTAAGGAAGAAACCGCCTCTCGCAACCAGCTCCAACCGGCGGATATTGGGGGTACTAGTGCAATAGCGACGCATAGTTCAGCTCCTCCTTCAGCTCGTGCACGGATGCCCTCCACGGAATGGTGGGAAACTGAAGATTTGACTAGCCTTCAACTAGACCAGGTATTATGATATTTTCTTCCATAATTAAGATAGTGCATTGGTAGACTTGGATGCATATAGTAACCTAAATATTCAACATATGTGTAGCTTAATCGATTGAAGAAAATGACTAAGAGCATGATTGAAAAGTGGGTGGCTCGAAGGGACAAGGTCCAACGATTGTCGAGAATTTGGAACAGCAAGAGTGAATTTGATCTACTGTTTTTCGTTCTTTTTTCGGGCTCGTACTTTTCTGAAGTTGCCATGTTGGAATGGCTTTGGATATTAGTTGGATTTTAGTTTGTTGTTCTGGAATATTAGTTGGTTTCATTTGGATATCAACTTGTTTTATTTTCAGTTATGAATTCTTGTTTTTGACGTTTGGATATTATTTGTTTGCATTTGGATATTTCAATGAAATATATGTTTGTTATATGTGGATATTTTCCCGCCCAAACTTGAATATTTGTACGCGCACTTTGGATACTAGTTTGGATACATGGATGGTAGAAGACGTTAATTTGTGAAACTTAATGCATGTTCATGTATGGATATCATTATGGAAAATAATTTGTGAATCTTAATGCATGTTCATGTATGGATATCATTATGGAAAATAATTTTTGAATCTTAATGCATGTTAATGTATGGATATCATTATGGAAAAGTTGGATACTTATACTAGCATTTTGGATATTATTCTGGATACATGGGTGTTGATGGTTTTTAATTTTCGCGAACTCTCCATTTGTTTTCCAACTTAAGGTACTAGGTGCTGGGATTGACGACATTTAGCAAATTGCTGGACTTTGTCACAACTGACATATGATAGACAAGAGGGAAGAGCATGACAGGTTCAAGGTTGTGTACTCCAGAAGGAGACCTTTGAAGAAAAGTGTTGAGGAGGTGCTATATCAACTTAGAACAGATGTGGTGGAAGACAAAGTGGAGAATACTGGAGCTGAAATGGAAGTGGATGAGGATTATCAAGAGAAAGAGGTCGATCCACAAGTGGGGAATACTGGAAAGAAATGTGAAGAAGATCCTCAAGAGAAGAATATTGAGGAGATGGCGGAGAAACAAATAGAGAAGACTGGAGAGAAACTCGATGAGGAGGTGGACATTGAAGAGCAGGTGTTCGAGCCGACAGTCCCTATGGTGACCCACTATACAGACCCAAATACAACATTTGAGGAGATTATGCAGATAGCTCATGAGGCTGCTACTGCTGATGTAGAGGAACCACCTACGAGGGAGGAAGTTCTATAGACGACTACTCATGTGGTGGTGGAGCCAACCACTCATGATGTGTTGGAGACACCAACAGAGGCAGTAGTGGAGACGACTGATGCAGTGGCGTTGGATCCACATGCAAATATGAGAATGTTGCTGACAGACGAGGAGCTGGTAGAAGCGGCTTGCAAGAGCAGTCAGGGAGTCCAGATGTGACTATCACGCATTAGAGGGCTAGGACTGTCGAGGAAGAAGACCGTATGTACAATTACACACATGAGGAATGGCTTGTAACACTAAAGACCCCAGAGTTCGAGAGACTTATCTTCCCGTTCACTTTTGGTGTAAGTGTACTCTTCACTCACACCTCACAATATTTAGATTAAAAGTAACTAATCAGGTTTTGTTTTCCTTTGTAAATAGAAACTTGTCATTGAAGATGCTCAGAAGAAAGTGCCCATGACCCAGGAGAGAGTTGATGGGATCATTGGAACCACCAAGCGGGTTCCACTGTTCAGACGTGCATCCTTTGACAAATTAGAATATGTAAGTCAATCCTTATTCTGTTATGTTTTGATACTTATATGCGTTGTGTGGATATTAGTCTGTGTTGTCTGGATATTTGCCCGAGATAACTGAGTGTGTTATGTCATGATACATTTCTGAATTGGATGGATACTATTCTGGGTTGTCTGGATATTTGCCTGAGATAACTGAGTGTGTTATGTCCTGATACATTTCTGAATTGGATGGATACTATTCTAGGTTGTCTAGATATTTTCCTGGGATAACTGAGTGTGTTATGTCCTGATACATTTCTGAATTGGATGGATACTATTCTGGGTTGTCTGGATATTTTCCTGGGATAACTCAGTGTGTTATGTCCTTATACATTTCTGAATTGGATGGATACTATTATGGGTTGTCTGGATATTTTCCTGGGATAACTGAGTGTGTTATGTCCTGATACATTTATGAATTGGATGGATACTATTCTGGGTTGTCTGGATATTTGCTTGGGATAACTGAGTGTGTTATGTCCTGATACATTTATCAATTGGATGGATACTATTCTGGGTTTTTTTGGATATTTGCTTGAGATAACTGAGTGTGTTATGTCCTGATACATTTCTGAATTGCATGGATACTATTCTGGGTTGTTTGGATATTTTCCTGAGATAACTGAGTGTGTTATGTCCTGATATATTTCTGAATTTGATGGATACTATTCTGAGTTGTCTGGATATTTGCCTGGATATTTTCTTGTGATATCTAAAATGTTATTAGTGGATACTTGTCTGGGATGAAGGGATATTATTCTGGGTTCTTGGATAACTAACTATGTGTTATATGTTTCAGATCTTTTTCCCTGTGCATGCAAACCTACACTACCGGGTCTACGCTGCTGATATAAGGAGTAAGAAGACTTTCCTTCTGGACAACCAAAAACCCAGTCCCACAACAGCCAAGATCGATCATGGTCCAATGGGGATAAAGATATTCGAGTGTGGGGCAGCTTTCCTAACAAAGCACAACATCGATGCTCCCTTGCACACGTGGGAATTTGTTATTGCGGATGTTCCTCAACAAGATGGAAACAACGACTACGGAGTGTTCGCATGCATGTTCATGGAGCATTGGGCGGGCCACATTCCATCGGAATACAAGCAAACTTGGCACAAGCAAGAGCACGTGGAGCACCAACGAGCATCTATTGCAGCCAATCTCCTTCTATGGCAATACAACCTCCAAAGGAATGTCACACTTGAGGAGGCAAACGAGTGGGCAACACATAAGTAGAAAGAGAAAGGGAAGAGAAGCTGAAACTTACCACCAGTTGTTCCATTCACCATATGTTGATGTTGTTAGTTTAAGGTGATTGGGTTATTTTGGGAACTTTTGGACAAAAGTAGACACTAACTAACTTTATCCTGATTGCTGGTTTGTTCAAGGATGGATTTCCTTTTGCTATAGACTGGATATTAGTTATCATAAGAATATCTTTCCTTCAACAAAAATATATCAAACCACCCAAAGTAATATCCAAAAAGTCGAGACTAATATCCAAAAATATGTTTTGAAAAAATATTATCGCATTTACATAATAGTATCCATTACGACCTAACTAATATCGGCTCATATACACACTAATATCCACACAACCCATAATAATATCCTGAACACTGAACATTGAACACACTAAACCCTAAATGCTACAACCCAGATTAATATCCGATAATATGTGATGGACACACATAAAATCAGTTGGAATACATATAAAGATTTACACAAACAAATATACATAAAATATAACATAATAATATCCGAAAGTTTGGAAGTAATATCCGTTGAACCAACAGACATATCCCTACAACACATACTGATATCCTTCAACCGTAGAGTAATATCAGTGTAGGATAAACAAAATATCTGAGATATATAAACTAAGATCACCTCACATTACATGGTGTTCATCACCATTTCAGTAATGTTGTCTTCCAAGTCAGTGAGATGGTCATCTTGTTGTGCGTCGGTGTCCTGCGTGAGCACTTCCAGTGATTTCAATCTCTTTCCATAGACAACCTTCTTTCGACGATGCACATTCTCATTCGTAGACTGATAACGTTCCTTGTCGTGCTTCCTTGGATTACTCTTCTCCTTGAGAGAGAGGTCACTTCTTGGTACAGAAGTTCCTACAATGTTAGTGGCTTTAGTAATCCGTGTAATGATATTAACTTATACAAATTTACAAATCATATTCGATACACTTATAGTCCTCGCTAGTTATAGTCTTTGACAATGCCTTGTTTGCCTCCTTGCACACTTTCTTCAATGTTCCCATCCACCTATTGTACACTTTCTCATTCTCCATTGATAACTTTGTTGCGAGTTGATTAAACATTGCAGTAGTTTCTCGATATCTCATTGCTATACCTCCTTTTCCCGTATAATTCTCATGACTAGGTGAAGGACCTACTGAAGAATCAACAACCTATTTCCTTCTCGTCTCCAACTCCAACGTTCATCGCTTGAGTATGTAATGATCTGGAATAGTTCTGATACTATCATTCCCAAAATCTCCAAGCAATCGCATCACCTTAACCATATGCCGACATAACACCCCAAAAGTTATAAACATCCTACATTCGTATACCAATGTGCCCGTAGAAATATCGACAAGAGTGACACGTTCATCGCTACACTCACCATCCTCCATCTTATATGAAGGTAGGTAATGAATAGTATCTGAGACACGCTCAATTAGATAGTCTTCAATTTCTAGATACTGCTCTTGAATCCGGGTGAAGATGTTAGAAGTGAAGATCTTGGCAGCATGTTGGAGGATCGAGCTTTTCTCCAGCAATATGTAAGGGGCCAATTGTTTCCCATTGTAGTCGGACTTATTCTCTTTGCGCCTTTTTCAGCCAAAAAACTGCATGTATGAAGAAAACCAAAATGTTGATTGCCGATATATATACAAACAACAAAAAATTATATCACACCATCACGTACCAATACCAACACATCGCGGTTCAATATCCATAAGGTGATAAATAATATCCAAAAAGCGCAAAGTAGTATTCTCATCACGTACCATGTAATGTGGATGAAAAACTCGGTCGAGATTATGCCTCAGTTTCAAGAAGAGTGGCACTTGTGCATTGCACGACTCGCTAGCTTGCGTTGTCAACATCCCCGTTGTGAATTGATCTCTCAGATATAAGGAATACCATTAATGACAAAATTTCTTCAAATATTGCATACATTGGTGGCCATCCACAGTTTCACTGCCGGGAAAACAATCAGCAACCATGCTGCTCCATGCCTCATGAAACTCAGCCTCGCTGTTGACGTAGTAGAACAGATAAGCAAGATGATTTTGGAACTTCTTCCAAAATGCCTTGTCCTTAAGAAGATGCTTCTTGAGATTCATGAGGATGTGCCAAGTATAGAGGGCATGAAATATAGTAGGCCACTCCTTTTTAAGGTCACTCATTTGATGTGCCAAGATGGTCACTGAGAGTTTCCTCTTCATGCACCGACTAAATGCTTTAAGAAACCATTTAAAAAAATGATTTGTCTCATCATATAACAAACAAGCACTAAACACGCAAGTTTTTTGGTGATGATTGAAACCTACAAACATCCCTGCAAAAAACAAACATTAAAGAAAATGCATAACCGTAAAGATAGGCTAACTCATATCAATGAATCTAACAATAGTATCGTATGGCTCCAAACAAGTATCCACACTATAATCCAACAGGCTAGTATCCACAATACTTTAGTAAATATCCAACAGGCTCATAATGGTATCCCCGCAACATAAATAGAGGTAACACACTACGTCCAACAAACAATAGGTAAATCGTATCCAACTCGCTCGTAATAGAATCTCAGGACGACCAACAAATATTATACTCACACCAACGACATTAAATTTCATTCTATGCTCCCAATCAAAACTCAACAACACAAACACATATATATGTCAATCCAAAAAAATAAGGAAATTAGGTGATTAACATACCCAATGGCCGGAAGTGTTTATTGGTTCGGAAGGTGGTGTCGATGGAGACCGAGTCTCCGACAAGTGCATAATCTTCACGCATCCTACTGTCTTCCCAAAAAATATTGGCAACTTTCTCCTCATAATCTACCTCTACAGCATAAAAGAAGCCGGGGTGCTTCTCCTTTTGGTCGTCAAAGTACTCAAGCAAGAAAGTCGCTTCGCCACGAGCCATATTTTTATGTATTTTCTTGTTCAAATGGTTCTTCTGATCAGATCTGATAAAAGTCAGGTTCTCATACCCACCGAAACATTCAGCCAGTAGCTGATACGTTGATCTAAGACTCATCCCGGTGTCGCAATTTGCTTAAGCAACAAGTCCTTGAGCGTCGTTCACACACTTGTTTGACTTGAATATGTGAGTATGCTCGATGGAGTGCAAATAATGAGAGTGAGCTCCATTGTGCACCACACATCCAGACCTATTCTCATTCCATTGAAAATGAACACGGGCGGAGTATCCAGTCCTAATTCGAGACCTCTTTCTTTTAGGGCGGCTTCTCTCCACAACCTTTTCCTCGGACTGTTCCTGTTTCTCAACCTTGACTTCACTAGTGGAGCCTTGCCTATTACAGACATAATAAAGGTAGGCAAAAATTTCCACCACATCTCCTTCAAAATTCTTCCTTTTTCTCAAGTGTTTCGAATCTACTCGAACACCAAACCCTTTTTTGTGAGCAAAGCCTTCGTAGAAATGAACACACTCGTCCTTAATGCGAAAAATGTTAATCCGCGCTTCCTCATCTTCTAGGTCCGAAGTATTGTGAGCTACGAGATATTTCCATTACATGTTAGTATCCAAAGTGCTCAGAATAATACCCCGAATACGTCTAATTAAAATCCATACACAGTAGGCTAACTCATATCAATGAATCTAACAATAGTATCAGATGGCTCCAAAAACGTATCCACGCTATAGTCCAACACACTAGTATCCACAATAATACAGTAAATATCCAAAAGGTTCAGACTCGTATCAAAACAACTTAAACAGTACGTCCAACAAACACTAGGTAAATCGTATCCAACTTGCTCGTAATAGAATCCCCGGACGACCAACAAATATTAAACTCACACCAACAACATTAAATTTCATTTAATGATCTCAACCAAAACTTGACAACACAAACATATACATATACATACATATACATATACATATACATATATATTATATATATATATACATATACATATACATACATATACATATACATATACATATACATATACATACACATATATATATACATATACATACATATATATATATATACATATACATATACAATATACATATACATATATATATACAGATATATCATGTCCGAAAGATTAGTCAATTCAAGTTCTGGATAGCTTTTTCTTACTCAAGGTATGTGGTACCCTGGATTTCACCCTAAGTACCGTAGAACTCCCCATATATATGGCTTAAGTCAGGCCTATACTATACGTCAGGTACTACTAGTGAGATATCTCTATCTAGACCATGAATTAAATCGAGTTTGGGGTATGATACTATACCCTAACCTCTAATGGATAAACCACATGCACCGATTTTCTAAACCCAAACTCGAGGTTTGATTTAATGAAAAACAAAATTGACCGTTGAGATCGTCCGGAGCTCATTTAAGTACATCTAACGGTTAGATCACCTGACGTATAGTACACGCCTGACATACACCAGTCATTATAATATATATATATGGTGGAATCTATGGTACCCCGGGTGAAATCCGGGGTACCGTATACCTCGAGTATGGAAACTCTATCTAGACCTCGAATTACCAGGATTTTTGTGTATGATATTATACCCTAACCCTTAATGAGTGAACCCTAGGTCATAATTATCTAAATCATAATCTATAAACCCTAAGATGGTGCATTCCTTTTTGTGCCTATATTTGGATGAATCATAACCGTCGATTATTATTTCTAATTAAATTGATCTTGGAGTATAAGATTGCGAGAGTTAACACCTAGATTTTGATCTTTAAGTGTTAGAGTATAGTATCATGTCTGAAAGATCGGTCAATTCAAGGTCTAGATAGTGTTTTCATACTCAAGTTATGCGGTACCCCGGATTTCACCCAGGGTACCGTAGAACTCGCCATATATATTTCAATCCACAATCACCTTCTTCTACTACTGGTCCATCGAAGACAGGCACACCACCACCATGTATTTAACTCAAACCATCTAATAAATCATCAACAAATTCGTCTTCTTC